TTATACGTCTCGCTATCGAGCGGTTCTGCATGACTAGTTAAAGAAGATGGCAAGAAGATTAATGAAAGCAAGGCTAATACAGAAGGGGGTACTTTTGCAAGACTTCTACTGAGGAGATATTAGAGCTGAACCAGAGCTTGGCTTTTTCTTTATCCTGTGACCTTTGAACCTGCCTTACTGTTGAGAGCTGCCAGGGAAGTCGACATTTTGATTGATGTTGGTACACGAGTCAGTCTTTCCCATTGAATTCCACATCTGCACGAAAATAGCTTTTCCAGCAGAATTCATACTGGCTAGAAGTGATAGCCAAATTGATGGCTGAAATGCTTTTATGTAGTTTTCATTTAAACCTAAAGCTATTTGATGTTTTAATTCAGTTTCCAGTTTTCATAGATTATAAACATTCACTTATATGTCCTTAATGGGTTCATCAGCTCGTCGTGAAAAGCCAGTGTTTAGAGTGTTCAAAGGTTTGCAGACAGAGAGCTGCAAGGAGGCTTTCTTTAAGGGGGAGTAAAAGCAGTCATCCCAACAGCCCCTTCAGCGTTCTTAAAAAAGAAAAATCAGACTCTGAGAGCCCAGGCAGTGTGACTTTAAGGTTTTTGTAAATAAAGGAAAGCATCTGTTTTTGGAAAACTGTAGACGAGGAACTCCGAGATCTCGCCTGTACACCCCACCTGAGCCCTGGCTCAGAAGCTCCCTTGATCTGTGCCTGTGTGTGCATCCTCTGCCCGCTCTCCCGACAGTGGCAGGAGGACTCGGGTTTTGTGACTGAAGTGGCCTTGGGTACACCTCAGCTCAGGCATTGAATTATTTGACCATCCAGTTTCTTTCCTCCCTGCTTGACAAGAGTAGTTCTACCAGGGAAAACAGGCGCGTGCACACGCTGACATGACAGGTATTCCAGGTCCTGAAAGGGGAGGTACCCAGGAATGTATTCTTTAAATGCTTGTGAAAATGTGTGGGAGGGAAATGAGGGCAGTGGCAGCCACCACCAAATGAAAGAGCTGCACCCACGGTGGGTGGCCAGGACCATGTCGTCACACTGTAGACCCATTAAGTAGGGCACTAGCGTTTGTGCTCACAGGGACCTGAAGCCCAGAGGGGCGCAGCCCATCCTTGGGGTCTGTCGCTTCCCAGGACATCCAGACACTTCCTACATTCGGTGGGCGAGCTCTGTTGTGTCTTTATTCTCTGACAAGGACTTATTTCCTAAGTTCCAGATCAAATGCGGTAAGTACTGCCCGGTTGCAGAGCACAACGGACTACCATATTAAATGCCCCAGTTATTGAATTGCCTTTTCATAAGAGTACTCTGGAGCACAATCAGGAGCAGGCGGTGCCTCATCCTTTTAACAGATATGTTTCCTAGCCCTATTAAAAGGGGTCTTCATCTATCCTGTCAAAGAGAGTCTGCTGGGGTTTTTTAGTTTAATTACACTATCCAATTAAAACTCCTTGCTGCATTTGGATGCGCCTCTCCTTGGGCCTGAGTGGATATGACATTTACAAGGCTCGCCTTTCAACCAGACAATAGTGTGATTGATGAGGTGCACGTTCAGTGAAGGAGGCGAGTGCCTGTGGAAGTGCTGCTTAGTGCATTTTGATTTATTTATCATCTTCTTCCAAAACAAGGGAGCTGCCGGGAGATGGGTTTAGGCAACCGGGGGGACCACCTCAATTTTTCCAAGTGTGTGGGAGGAAGAGACCCGCAGTGTGCCACCGGATAATGGTGGAGAAACACTGTAAACACGGGGCCACCTTGCGTCGACCGGTGCCAGGCTGCATACTTAAGTTTTTTGACTCAGTTGGGTTTCCAGTAACCTCCAGCTGCAATCTGCTGTTAAACAGGCTATCGCTGTGTTTCAAGGAGCATTTCTCTGGGGCTGGGTACCACTGGCCATGCCCCCGAAAACTTAGCCGGTGGGGGCCAGCCCTGCATGTGTCCCATTGACTGACCCGGTCACTAACTGGTGGCACCTGACGTTCACACTCGGCATGCCTCTTAGTGCTCCCAGCTGCTTCCTCCAGAAGTTCGGCAGCTTCTGTCCAGGGGCTACCGTCAGCGCTCAGTGGCTCTCTAACCCTGCCCGGGCCTTCCGAGCATTTAAAAGTTGCTTCTGGAATCGGCCAAGAGCAACTGGGGCCCTTCAACAAAGAAATATGGAGGAACAGCGGAGAACTTTTCCAGACTATGGCGAGAAGATGAACCGGCCTCTTATTTTTAACCTATTATTGCTATTTGCCCTCAGCGTGTGATAGGTGGGACCAGTGTGTTTATCTGTAGTTCCTGGAAGAGAGGTGTTTTGGTAGTATGTGTCGTCTTTGGGGGTCAACACTCTGAATTTGGAAGGCAGGAGGCCTTTCTCTCAGCCCCATCCAGAGGGTAAGAACGTCTCACCTCTCATGTTCATTGTCCACAGCTGCTCCTAGGGGCCGTTGGGGGCGTGTTCACTGACTATGAAACATGTGAGAAGGTGTCTGTGATCAAAACTGGCTACTGGGTTTTCTTACATTTCCCGCAGACTTTCTTCATTTTTCCATAGGACTTATTAATGAACCAGAAAGAATTTACTTGCCTTGAACAGAATATTGATATTTGTTAGAACAGAAAACATTTGGGGGGTACCAACTCTTTTTTCCCCTAAGAGAAGCAATCTTCTTGTTATTAAGTTGTCCCTTCACTCTTGACCTGGACCTATGGACCCATGATAACAAAAGAGTTATCCAAGGATAATGAAAAATGGGATGCATTTGCATTTTCTAGATTTACATTACCATTTCCTCAAATTTTTTCTCTTGACTTTAACATCAGAAGAGATCAGAATTGAGAAGAGGGTAAGGGTAGGGACTGTTTTCTACTGAAAAACTCAGTGTGAAAGATTTCTCAGCTGGATAAATGATGGGAAAAAGCTGTTTCCCTTGCCTCCTGCCAAGCTCCAAATTGTGTTTTCATAATAAATAAATGGAGTGCTTAGATTTTAAGTTATTCTTATAGACATAGAAAAAGTCAGCCATTCTTTCATTAAAATCAAAATGTGTATTGCTTACAAGATTCCCATAGGCTACTTCCAGGACAGAGCAACTGCTAACAGATTAGCCCTTCTATCATAAATGACTGGAAAACTGCACAAAATAAAAGAAACTGTTTTCAAAACCCTGGAAAACAGGCAGTACAGGACTATGAACCCTGAGAGAAAGGAAACAAATGAGGTGAGACGTACTATCACTTCAGCTTTCTCCCAGGGTCTCCCAGGGAGTGCAGCAGTCTCAGCGAGCTGGGCGGCGCAGACCGAGCTGGAGGAGGCTGAAGCTACTGAAATCTGCACAGTAAAAGTAAAGTTGGTGGAGGAGGGGCCCGCACTGAGAAGGAGCTGCAGAAAGAGGCCCTTGAATCCTTTGCTGCATACTGACTTACGCATGCCTGGAGTGGAATCTCACAAGGCCCATCAGAGAACAGGGGCTGGGGCACTGAAATTGAGTTCTGACCAACCAGAGAGGCGCACCCAGAGCTTTTAGTAGTGACCCCAGGAAGGCCACATCTTAGGAACATGGCTAAATTAGGACTGTATTATTAAAGACTGCTCTCATCTTTGCCTAATAAAGTCTTAGAAAGAGCAAACTGATCCAGAAGTAAATTAACTGCCTGACAGAACAAAGCTCAGTATTCTTTAAAGGAAGACAACAATGTAATGTTTATAGTGTCCAGCATCCAATCAAAAATTACTATACATGTAAAGAAGCAGGAAAATGGGTCCTGTAACCAGGAAAAAAAAATAATAGAAACAGAGCCAGAAATGGCACCAGTGATAGAATTAGCAGATAAGTACACTAAGTCTTCAGTTAATGTTGTCAGTAGGTTCTTGGAAACTGCAACTTTAAACAAGACGGTGCATAACAAAACCAGTTTTACCGTGGGCTAATTGATATAAATAAGCATTAAGTTACTACAGCATACTTCTGGTCACACAAATATTAGCAAACTTCTAAATAAAGACCTAAAACTTGTAATATTAAACATTGAAGTAAATGCGAACTATGCATACATTTAAGAAAGATTACTAAAAACAGGTAAGATCATTATTTTCCAGTCCATTTATTCCAGTCCAGTCTCAGAGGTGGCCAGAACCTGTCCCGGCAACTCAGAGCTCAAGGCAGAAACCAGCGCTGGACAGGACACCCTTCCGTTGCAGGGCTCACTACATGCCCATACCGACAGTTCGGATGCCCAGCAAAGCTATGTGCACTCCTTTCAGATGTGGGAGGAAGGCAGAGTACCTGGAAAAAAACGGTGCAGGCATAGGGAGAACATGCAAACTCCACACAGACAGTGGCCTCAGCTGGGAATCCGTGTTTTTTCTCATTAGCATTAATGAAAGAGTGTTGAGCCAAATGATATTATTCAATGACTTGATGTACTTTAAAATAGCTATTACAAATATGTTCAAAGATTTAAAGGAAAACAACTCAAGAAGAAAAATGGAAACTATTAAAAAAGAATCAAATGAAAATTCTAGTGCAGAGAAATACAATACCTGAATCAAATAATTCAGTGTTGAGAACAGATTAGGAATGTTAGTTAAAAAGATCTGTGTGTTTTCTCTTGTTGCATAATAAATTGCCCCCAAACTTGGTGCCTTAAAACAACAACAACATTTGTTATCTCGGTTTTGTGGTCAGGAATCCAGCACAGCTCAGCTGGATACTCTCACTCAGGGTCTCTCACAGGACTGCAGTCAAGGCGTCAGCCAGGGCAGGAGCTGCTTCCAAGCCCACTGAGTGGCTTCTGGCAGTCTATTTCCTTGTGGACACCCTTAGTTCTTTGTTACGTGGACCTTTCTGTAGGGAAGCCCATAAGCTGGCAAACAGCTGGCTTCATCAAAGGAACCAAGAACAAGAGAGTCCTAGCAGGGAAGAAGTCACAGTTGTTTGTTACCTAGTCTCAGAGGTAACATCCCAATGATTTTGCTGTATTTTATTCATCAGAAGTACGTCTCTGACCCTTCTACAAAGGCGTGTCTGTGGTTCCCTGTCTTTGGGCATCTGAGAATTGGAGGCAAAGAAATGTGGACTTGGAGAAGCCTGGGGCCAGCTTGTTCCCTGCAGCTGAAGATCAACCATCTTACCTAGTAGAAAAAGAAAGAAGTCTGTAGGTGTGGCCCACAAAAGATTACTCAGGTGTGAAAAGCAGGAGGTGAGATCATTGGGAATCATTTCAGAATCTGCCTACACCATCAGTGAACTTGAAGACAGGACAATAGAAACTGTTCAAAATGAAGCACACGGAGAAAAAGTGGATGAAAAGAACAGAGACTATAGAATAATAGCAACTGTTCTAACATCTATGTAATTGGATTGTCAGGGCTGGAGGAGAAAACTTCTGAATTTGATTAAAAATATCAATTCACTAATCTTGGAAGCCCAGTGAAGGCTAAACAGGATAAATATAGAGAAACTACATCAAGGCACATTGTAATCAACTTGCTGAAAAACAAGGGTGAAGAGAGAAATCTTGAAAGTGGCAGGAGAAACCAAGGTAAGAATGATTGCTGACTTCTCATCAGAAGTGATGCAGCCCAGAAGACAATGGAGTGACATCTCTAACGTGCTAAAGGGAAACCTGTCACCCCAGAATCATGTGCTCCGTGAAGACACCCTTCAGAAATGAAGATGAAATAAAGACATGCAAAATAAAATAATTTGTTGCTATTAAACCTTTACCACAAGAAATGTTGGAGGCTCCAGGGGGGGAAATACCAGATAGAAATGTGGATCTACAAAAAGAAAGAGAACTCAGTGAAGGGAACTCAAAATGTCACCATTAGCAACTGTGCAGAATGAACCAGGGAAAAGGAAATCAGCAAGAGAGACCTCGTACTAGGTAGGGGCTGGCAGACTGGCCCACAGGTTCGGTCCAGGCCACCACCTGTGTTTGCATGGCCTGTGAGCTAAGAATGGTATTTACAGGTGAGTACTTGCCATTGATTTGGTGATAGAGAACACCAATTTGGAATTTCATTTAAGTAAAATATTATCTCTCCCCACTTAAAAAAAAAATGTCTTTCTCATTAGTGGATCTACATTTTTAAAAAATGCATTTGACTATTACATTTTTAATTTTGTCAATTAAAATGTGGAAATTTCCCTTTTAGCTATATAAGTATCTGTAAAATATTTTAAATTTTGCCTCTTGGCTTGCAAAGCCTAAAATATTTCTATCTGGCCCCTTGCACAGGAAGAGTGTGCTTGTCTTAGAGAAGGGAGGGAAAAGATAAAGGGAGGCCACCGCCGACGGCAGTGCCCAAGGGCCCCATGTGTGTGTATTGCCTAGCTCCTGCAGCGGCTCCATGAGGTTTATATGCCTATGTTTAGAATTGTGGGGTTGTTGATTCTGTCCTCGCACCGCCTCCATGAGGCTAATACTATTCCCATTTTATAAAGAAGTTGGGGCTCAAAGAAGTTAGGTACCTTGTCCAAAGTTACATATAAATGATAGCAGAGCTTCATGTTCTTCCCTGTGTCACTGACATGAAGCCAAGGCATTTAAACTGCTTTCTCTGATGGAAGAATATCCCCATCCCTGGCTCAGAGTCTCTAAAGGCTTTTAACAAATTTCAGCCATGCTTGGTTGTCTGGTTTCTCTTCCTAAAGGATATTAAACACAGGGAATTGGAAGAGAGGCAGAAGAATGGGAGAACTTAATAAAGACAGCGGGAGGTGAAAACTGACAAAAGTTGACCAAAAATGAAAGAAAACAAACCAAAAACTGTTAAAAAGCAGCCCAAGAACTCAGCGAGCACGGTCGAGGGCAACAGCAGGAAACCACGACATACCTGTGCTGCGCACGGGAGCAGAAGGCTGGTCCCTGGGAAGGCACTGGTGGGGCGGCGGCGTGCGAGCCAAACCAGCCCTCCGCTCCGCGGGCCACACTTCTGCTCGAGAGGACAAGTGACCGGCTGCGGTGGCTCGATTGTCATGTTCAGCAGACATTTCCTTGAAAATGAAGGAAGTGAGCCTATCACTTCAAGAAAAACAAGTGATCGTATTTGATCCCAGTGATGAAATTCAAGCTTTTCAGTGACAATTAAAATTTTGGGAAACTTGTGCTCAGCACTGTGAGACTGGCTTCTCCTCACGTACTTTTCTAATGAGGTCAGTAGTGATATTAATGAACGTGATTTTTTTTTTCATATCAAATAATGTGCGAACATTTGGAAGACCTGCATGACTCAGTGAGCCAGTATTTTCCAGACTGCTGCATGGTGTCACAAAATCATGTGAGCGTAAAGGATGCATTTAAAGTACAAGACAGACCGATGGATTTTACTGTAACAATTCAGTAAGTTTCAATGTGGTTTTAAATTCCACATTACACGTAATCTTCAGGAAACTACCATTTATCGAGTTCGGTACGGTATCAAAGAGGGATATTTGCGAAGAAGAGTTTAAAGCGTTCCTCCCTTTTCCAAACTTGTCTCTCTGAGGCTGGCATTTCTTCCTAACGCTTCGGCTAAAACAGATCATCACAGCAGGTCAAACGTGGAAGCAGCTAGGATAACCCAGCTGTTTTCTGTTAACCCAAATGTTCAAGAGATCTCAAACATGTAAAATAATGCTACCCTTCTCATAAAACTTTGGGGAAATATAAGGCTTTTCCATTAAAAGTATTTTTCATGTTAACTTATAATGGGTTTATTAGCTTTAATGAATTAATAAATATTTTTATAACTTCTCACTATTAAACCAAGCGGGTTCTGGACAAAGGTGGGCTGCAGGCCCCACCGGGAAGCGCCAGCCCTGACCACTCGGTGCCGGCAGCCGGTGCCAGCAGGTCGTGTTCCAAGGGCGCCCCCTTCCCAACAGCCGTGCCTGCCCCACTTGCAGTGCACACCCCAGAGCGCGCCTTTTAGCAGGCGGGTGTCCGCTGCTGTCCGTCTTTGCTTAAGCTGTCCCACCCGGTGATGACAGCAGCTTCAGAGTGGCCGCTCTGCTGACCTGACCTGGGGAGCCTGTCTCTTCAGCGCCAGCTCTTATTCAAGAGGGTGAATTACAGCACAGAAGCTCACAGGTCTCCACTTCTGACGTTTGTGCCACTAATTAGTTTCTTCTGTGTTACATTCCACCTTCTGTGTTTCACCTGGGGAAGAAACCTAAGTGTGAACGCATTGCTGCGCACCTGGAGTCCCACGCCAGCGTTCAGAAGCAGGCACCGTGTGGGTGTCGCCTTGAGCGGCTGACCGGGTGCCGATGCCGCCTTTGAGACCCTGTCGTGTTGCGCTCGCTCTGACGGCACTGAGCAACAGGTCTGCCCACGGAGGCCCAGGGAGAAACAAACTCTTCGAAACACTGATTCTGCCTTCAAACATCAGCTCCCTCCCAGCTGTAAGAATGATCACCTGCACCCACTGAGCCCAGCTCTGTCCCAGCGTTGTGTGAGGCCCCCCGAGAGGCACCGCCTGGGGGGGGGGGCTCACCAAGCTCGAACCCAGCCAGGCTGGGGTCTCAGCCTGGCGAGCAAAATAATTGGAACTGATTGGAATAACAGACTTATTAGCATTTTCTCTTAAATCATACTGGTATTTAATTTTTTTCTCAGATCACAGATTTATGAAGACAGTTCACCCTTGTGGCTCACCCCTCCTTGTAAAAACTGCTAACGGTCTTTGAATTTTCAAGGGTAACCTGCCCACCTCTGATTCCCTCTGACCCCCAGGACCGATGCCCTGGGGGCTGCAGCTGAGGGGTCACTGGAGCCTTGTTCTGTGACCTGAGGTGCGTGTGAGGTGCCTGGGGCCGACGCGGGGTTTGGTAGCAGACCGGTCTCATTCTGTGTTCTCGTCCAGTGCAGCAGGCGTGGGGGTGCCAGCGGTTCCTCCTTCCAGACGCCCGTGGTGCCCCACATGGTGTAGATGCCTTGTGTTTGTTGGTCGAGCTCTTTCCAGCAAGAGGTCAGTTAACTTGTTACACTTCAGTATCTAGGTTTTGGGTCAGGTGAAATTATACAAGTGTGAATTCTGCTTATTAACAGATGCTCTATTAGAGAATCCCCAGGTCCCACCAGGGTTCCCTTCTCCATAGTCCTCAGTCCCTTCCTCAGCATCTCTTCTGCTCTGTTCAGTTCAAAACCGAATACACTCCTACCTGGGTGACTGGCATGGGGGTCCCTGCCTCCGGGCCCCGGGGATCCAGGGCGAACACCCCAAAGCACAGTGTGACCATTTACTTCACTGCTCGGCTTACATTCAACCCACTGGTGGCTTCCTCAGCCGGTGAACCTGGCATTCTCAGCCCTTTGTACCTGCCAGTATCACCTGGCCACCCATTGTACATGACCCTGTCTGCTGCATTTGTCCCCACGTCATCCTGACCCTGTTGCATCCCTCCCACCCCCACTGTAACCCAGCTGACTGCCCTTCTGCCCACCGAGGGGTCCCCGGGGCGCACCAACCGACCCGTGTACGGGGAAACGTGGCTGCTCCTGCGCCAGATGCAGTGTGTCCAGCCCGCAGGCTGCGCTCAGCCCAGGATGGCTGTGAGTGCCGCCCGACACAAAATCATAAATTTACTTAAAATCTTTTTTTCTTCTTCCTCATCGGTTTTTGCATATTTAATGTGTGACCCACAACTCCTCTTCCAGTGTGGCCCAGAGACACCAAAAGGCTGGACGCCCCTGCCGGTAGAGCTTCCCCTCGAAACGCCCCTCCACAGAGCAAGGAGGGGTGTCTGCCCTGGCCGTCCGCACACCGCAGCCCGTTACTCCTAACGTCGGGGGCCCCGCGGCAGTCACTGAAAGGCTGCTTCACTGCAGTTCAGGTACAGGTGCTCTGCCTGACGCTCTCTGTGTGCCCTCAGTGCCGTGACTGCTTCCACCGGGAAGGGCAGCTGAGCCAGAGGCTGCGGAGAGATGGTGAAGGCCGCGACTCTCTCTCGTTCCTGTCCACCTCACTTCTCCTAGGGGGCCCTGGAATGAGCCTTGGGGACAGGCAAGGGACTCACACAGCCCCCTCGCACAGCAGAACACAGAAGCTGGAGTGTTTGTGGCCACCCTGCCTATCTGTGCAGCCTTTCAGGAGACGTGGCTCAGGGTGATTGCTTCCCGGTTGTCGGCATAACTGCCGTGCGGACAGCAG